CATTTCCTACTTTAAATTATCATTGTCATTGATTTGTTAGTAAATAATAATAATAATAATAATAACCACAGAGTTTAACAACTTACCACGCCGATCTGCTTCATCCTGGCTAATAATCTCACCACAATATTCGTAGATGAACTCATTCTTCTCGGCACCGTCTTTGATGAATATGCCCCAACTATGAAATATATGTGTGCACAAAAATTAAAACATTACATATGACGCTGTATATACTACTGATTCATTCATCGGCCGACATAAGTAGTGCTGGACAGCTACCTAGATAGCTATCTAGCTAGCTAGCTAGCCAGTTGGACCAAGGTGATCCATCTAAATACACAACGGACAACCATTTCTCCCGTTTTCTGCAGCTAAGTTCATTATCGGTGTACCTAGTATTCACTCAGCTCATAGGGAGTCGAATCATTTGAAACTATCGAAAGTCTCCATAGCTAGCTAGCCAGCCAACCAGCCAACCAACCAACCAACTAACTAACTAAATAATCGGGAGAACAACTTGTAATACATTCAACTTACAAATGGCACATCTCATCTAAGCACAAACTACTAGTGTAACGCTGTCACTATTCTCTCCAGAGAGAGAGAGAGAGTACAGTTCGGCGTCCAAAGCTATTCACCACAGTACAATGTATCAAAATCTTACAGCTCATATTTCACCGCCATATCCCATATTAACTTCATACTTGATTTTACAAATTCACTTACTTATCAATTCTAAAAATATCTACCTCTATTGTATTAAATTCTGTCTGGAAACCACGCAAAATATACACTCAGTAATTCTTATCAACATAGATATACACTGAATAATTTGAAACTGGACACCGAAGAGACCAATGGATAGTTTACACATCATCACTCTATATATATACACACACACAAATACCCATCAATAGGCCTATAGAAGCGCTCAAAAACCCACTCATTTCTCACCAACAACTTCCACTTACAACCAAAGTAACACTAGAAGACTTCACATACCAACACTCCACCACCAATGCCTGACTTCTCTACATCACTTTAATTCCAGGGGAAAATAAACAAACAAACAAACTCAGGGTGCTGCCATGGGATCACCAATAGCACCCTACCCTATACTTGCATACATAATTGAGGATAGGTTGGAAAACCTAGTCAATGAAACTTCCAGCATTTTCCACCTTCAAAGTGTGCTCGAGCTATGCACATCACACTTTTACAGTGCTTAACTAAACAGCAGTAGTGTGAGGCGATCTTTCAATCGAAGACTGAGGTCCACGCAACAGATCGTTTATTACGAAAAATCAACACGTATTTATAGATTTTTATGTACATTATTGTAGGTCAATGTTAGCAGAAAATACAGTCTGTTGATTGGTTGTTTCTCACACAAAGTTAACCTTGCATCTCTTGTGGCGGTGTCAGTTCATCTTTATGTTAACTGTAACCACCTGTCCACCTTGACCTTTGACCTCAATTACTGTCCACCACTTGGCTAGTAGACAGCTCTCACCACAACATGACTAATATTTGATACATGAACATTGACCTCAATTACTGTCCACCACTTGGCTAGTAGACAGCTCTCACCACACTACTACTGCTACAACTACTACTACTACTACTACTACTACTACGTAGGACGTGGATGTCAGTTCACATCTGTGTGACCTACTTTACTTGCGGTTGTTATATAAAAGATATTGAAAGTGTAAATTGCATTAAGACTAGACCTTCGTGTTTTTATTCGTATCAATCGTTCATGTTAAGTCGAACTGTGTTGTGAATAATAATCAGGTGATGTTAGGTTAGGTAAGACAAGTATGTTGATGAGCGTTCATCATTTGAAATGACTAGAAGACACGATATGTGCGCATGGGTTGATGTCAATCCATAATAAATGTGATGACTTTATTTTGCTTTAATGAATACTATGTCGGAGTTGACAGTTACTTACTTGGTAATTATATATATATATATATATATTAAACGTTTTCATAATTTTTTTTCTCTATAGAAATCGCTGTAGATCTTTAAAACAAGCCCTTAACGAAACCGTAGAAAGCCAAATGAAAAGTCGTCAACGTTTGGTTGATATGGCTCTAGCGAATCGTGACCTTCGAGATGAAATATGGCACTATGCATATTTGAATTCATCTCTGTCTTCAGAAATTGAAGGACTTCAGAGTGAACTTGCGAGTTTACACAATGAAGAACACTGTAGTAATGAAAACGCCAATGCTGTGAATTCGAAGCCGAAGAAATTTCATGCATTGGATTCAGGTTTGTTATAATATATTGTGTATATATTTGGGGGGGTTACACGTAGTCATATAATTGTGATTTTAACTCTACACACACACACGCACGCACACTCTAATGACGACTGTATTGTTGTATTGAATGCCGAGAAGGAGGTGGTGGGGGTGGGGGAGGAGGAGTGATAAACTCTAATAATTGGTGTGTGTCGTGTTGATTATTACTGAAACTGATCGTAGGGATAATGAAAAGGGGAATTAGAAAATTATGAATTCCACTTTGGTGAGGAGTTCACATCACACTTACAACTAGTCGATGAAGCGATTGCCTATGGTTGACTGAATTTCAGTCATTTGCTCGATTTAACCACTGTGATGGAAGTAGGTAGGAATAACGTTATTGTCGTCGTTCATAAAAGCTTGTTTTTCTTGCATTGTGCACTTGCAAAATAACAAAAGAGTATTTAGAATTTATAAAATATCATGCATATGGTAGAGTATATGCTGTAGAGTTTTGATCACATAACAGTTTCACATTTATGATTTGAATATAGGCGAATGCGAACGCAAGAGTGACCTTGAGCCAACCAGTCAGGGAATACATTGGGTTTTGCATATAAATATGATGTTTATTTACAAGAGAACTACATGAAAATACATTAGGCAGGATATTTTTTCAAGTATTGGTTTTGTAGGGAGGTATTGTGTTTGATTAGTTGGAGGGTTTCATCGATTGAATCAGTATGCGCTCCTCTAAGAGGATCGATAACTATTAACTAGGCAAATGTGGATAATAAAGATAAATAATACTAACCCCAATCTTAATTGTAACCCTAATTCCAACCCTGACCCTAAGCGTGACTGTAGCACTAACGAGCTATGCAGAAATTGTCCAAACAATACTTAAAATCGAAATCGGGATGAAATTTGCACCTCTATCCGTGCACAGCGTTCAAAGTGACACTGTGTTGTGAATAGTAGATCTCGTTATCGAACGAGTAGTATGCGTTCAAGGCTACTGGAGCTTCCGCACTCCTGGCCCACCGTTATACTTTGGTAATTTGGTCTGATTATATTCTTCATATGCACATTGCTGCATTGTGTCACAACACCATCCCTCCTTGTCCATTCTGTCTTTCTTTTAGATGAAATTGATAAACTTTATTTAAGAAATCAGGATCTTAATAAAGTGGAGACGAATAAAATTGAATCACAAGAAAAAGGAAAAGAAGAAGAAAATACTTCAGCCAAATTATCCCTGGGAAATGGTGGAGACTCTACAACTACCACTACTACTGGTGTTAGTACAAGTGACAGAATGGTGGGACGTTCAAGAATTGTTCCATGCAAAGAAAAACCGCAGGAATGTAAACCTTCGTGATAAATAAAATTTTCTTCCATCACCATCATAGATTACGTGGCAATGTTGTTGGTGTTTTTTTTAAAATAATAGATTGATCGCCAGAAATGCCTTTCTTTCCTTAGAAACTACTATTGTTATTATTATTATTATTGCTTGGTGAGTAGAAACCTTATTTTGTTATAAATCACTCCAACATACTCTCGACTATTCTCTGTGCTATTTCTTTTATCTGTTCGTTGTTTTTGCATATTTTGTGGTAAAAAAAAAGATACATAGAAATTATAAATATCCCTTCTTGTTGTATCTGATTTGTGTACATTGATATTTTTTATGTGTTATGATGTGCTTGCCAATTTGACAGTTAGTATATAGTCTCATGGTGTGTAGTTGACATTCGAAGGTGATGAATACGGTTACAGATATGCAGCGCTTATATGTGTGTGTGTTGTTCAACACTTTTAGGTGAACGGCAACACATATGTGGTAAGGTGATTTAAAACAATAATTGACTGTTATTCTCTTTTCTCTAAGTTGCATGGCAATGTGTATAGAAGTCGACATAACCTATGACACATATGCAAAAAATGTTTTCACTTGGAGATAAATAACCGCTTACATTTAAACATTTGATCCTACCGAGAGATGTTTACTAGCCGACGAAATGTTGTAGACTGTTATATGATATCACATAGTGGATATATTTCTATATCCATACGGAACTGAAGTCTCAGAAGTCAAGATTTTTAAACTGCATGAAGTGACAGCATGCATTACTGATGAATTATTCTCGGAATGTCAGCCAATAAGTAATATATATTGTACCTCTGTGTACTACGCAATTAAATAAACGAAGATGGAATCATGCTGTACTCTACTGTACTGTGCCAGAGAATGTTATGCTCTTGTACACGCTTTCTTAACAATGAGATTTGATTTCTGAATAAGAACATAGAGGAGAAAGTAAGATAACAGCAAGGTGATAATAAGTGTCTGCATACTTTGTGTTTCTGGCCACGTGTTAGGCCTACCTTTCAGTCTGTTGACATCTAATTTCAGCTTTTCAATAATTATAACAATAATAGTCTGTTTTCATTCCAAAAACATATGTGTCATAGGTTATGTCGACTTCTATACACATTGCCATGCAACTTAGAGAAAAGAGAATAACAGTCAATTATTGTTTTAAATCACCTTACCACATATGTGTTGCCGTTCACCTAAAAGTGTTGAACAACACACACACATATAAGCGCTGCATATCTGTAACCGTATTCATCACCTTCGAATGTCAACTACACACCATGAGACTATATACTAACTGTCAAATTGGCAAGCACATCATAACACATAAAAAATATCAATGTACACAAATCAGATACAACAAGAAGGGATATTTATAATTTCTATGTATCTTTTTTTTACCACAAAATATGCAAAAACAACGAACAGATAAAAGAAATAGCACAGAGAATAGTCGAGAGTATGTTGGAGTGATTTATAACAAAATAAGGTTTCTACTCACCAAGCAATAATAATAATAACAATAGTAGTTTCTAAGGAAAGAAAGGCATTTCTGGCGATCAATCTATTATTTTAAAAAAAACACCAACAACATTGCCACGTAATCTATGATGGTGATGGAAGAAAATTTTATTTATCACGAAGGTTTACATTCCTGCGGTTTTTCTTTGCATGGAACAATTCTTGAACGTCCCACCATTCTGTCACTTGTACTAACACCAGTAGTAGTGGTAGTTGTAGAGTCTCCACCATTTCCCAGGGATAATTTGGCTGAAGTATTTTCTTCTTCTTTTCCTTTTTCTTGTGATTCAATTTTATTCGTCTCCACTTTATTAAGATCCTGATTTCTTAAATAAAGTTTATCAATTTCATCTAAAAGAAAGACAGAATGGACAAGGAGGGATGGTGTTGTGACACAATGCAGCAATATGCATATGAAGAATATAATCAGACCAAATTACCAAAGTATAACGGTGGGCCAGGAGTGCGGAAGCTCCAGTAGCCTTGAACGCATACTACTCGTTCGATAACGAGATCTACTATTCACAACACAGTGTCACTTTGAACGCTGTGCACGGATAGAGGTGCAAATTTCATCCCGATTTCGATTTTAAGTATTGTTTGGACAATTTCTGCATAGCTCGTTAGTGCTACAGTCACGCTTAGGGTCAGGGTTGGAATTAGGGTTACAATTAAGATTGGGGTTAGTATTATTTATCTTTATTATCCACATTTGCCTAGTTAATAGTTATCGATCCTCTTAGAGGAGCGCATACTGATTCAATCGATGAAACCCTCCAACTAATCAAACACAATACCTCCCTACAAAACCAATACTTGAAAATGAATTAATCTGATGCTGACTAGCGACTGGCCCTATTTAGGCAGTTAACCTGTGGTTCTAGTGAGAAGCCGTGACCAGTAAGGTGCAACAGGTTGAAGGTGAGGCAATAACCCATCGAAGAAGACATTGCGAAGTGGTCGCGCTATGTCATGAATTGGTAGATGTTAGAATTCATGGGCTGGTCATTGGATCGAGTCCCAGTGACTTAATGGTCTACGAGCTCGCTGGCCTTGTAACCAGAAGGTCCTGGGATCGGACCTTGCTGATGGGTGCGTACTGAAGAAGAGTCTACAACCAGACGAAAAAGGTGTCCAGTACACTCAGCTTTTACAATGGTTCTCTAACTGATGTCAACTTATGATGAAACCCTCCAACCAATCAATCGAGGTCTTTTGAGGAAGAAGACTAACAAAATAGCATAAGAGGGATAAATGGGTCACAATAAGAACTCGTCTTCAATCACCTTGGTGAATACATGCATACAGACTGATCTAGCCTGAAAACTGATACTTTTCATCATAATTTGGAGGTATTTTTGAATCATGTCAGGAAAAAATATCCTGCCTAATGTATTTTCATGTAGTTCTCTTGTAAATAAACATCATATTTATATGCAAAACCCAATGTATTCCCTGACTGGTTGGCTCAAGGTCACTCTTGCGTTCGCATTCGCCTATATTCAAATCATAAATGTGAAACTGTTATGTGATCAAAACTCTACAGCATATACTCTACAATATGCATGATATTTTATAAATTCTAAATACTCTTTTGTTATTTTGCAAGTGCACAATGCAAGAAAAACAAGCTTTTATGAACGACGACAATAACGTTATTCCTACCTACTTCCATCACAGTGGTTAAATCGAGCAAATGACTGAAATTCAGTCAACCATAGGCAATCGCTTCATCGACTAGTTGTAAGTGTGATGTGAACTCCTCACCAAAGTGGAATTCATAATTTTCTAATTCCCCTTTTCATTATCCCTACGATCAGTTTCAGTAATAATCAACACGACACACACCAATTATTAGAGTTTATCACTCCTCCTCCCCCACCCCCACCACCTCCTTCTCGGCATTCAATACAACAATACAGTCGTCATTAGAGTGTGCGTGCGTGTGTGTGTGTAGAGTTAAAATCACAATTATATGACTACGTGTAACCCCCCAAATATATACACAATATATTATAACAAACCTGAATCCAATGCATGAAATTTCTTCGGCTTCGAATTCACAGCATTGGCGTTTTCATTACTACAGTGTTCTTCATTGTGTAAACTCGCAAGTTCACTCTGAAGTCCTTCAATTTCTGAAGACAGAGATGAATTCAAATATGCATAGTGCCATATTTCATCTCGAAGGTCACGATTCGCTAGAGCCATATCAACCAAACGTTGACGACTTTTCATTTGGCTTTCTACGGTTTCGTTAAGGGCTTGTTTTAAAGATCTACAGCGATTTCTATAGAGAAAAAAAATTATGAAAACGTTTAATATATATATATATATAATTACCAAGTAAGTAACTGTCAACTCCGACATAGTATTCATTAAAGCAAAATAAAGTCATCACATTTATTATGGATTGACATCAACCCATGCGCACATATCGTGTCTTCTAGTCATTTCAAATGATGAACGCTCATCAACATACTTGTCTTACCTAACCTAACATCACCTGATTATTATTCACAACACAGTTCGACTTAACATGAACGATTGATACGAATAAAAACACGAAGGTCTAGTCTTAATGCAATTTACACTTTCAATATCTTTTATATAACAACCGCAAGTAAAGTAGGTCACACAGATGTGAACTGACATCCACGTCCTACGTAGTAGCAGCAGTAGTAGTCGCAGCAGCAGTAGTAGAGTAGAGCAGTAGTAGTAGCAGAAGCAGCAGCAGTACTAGCAGCAGTAGTAGTAGTAGCAGCAGCAGTAAGAATAATCCCTTCACTTCCATTCCTCCGTTCATTGTCAACACCACTCGTAGTCGCCTACAAGAAGAAGAAGAAGAAGTAATTACACAACTTGGTATCATTATTAATCATTGATGCATGTATTACACAACAGACACAATCATATCTAACAATATGTAGAATATTTTTCTGTTGTCTGTCGATGTAAATCAGAGGCGGAAAATAATTTATGGATGAAATTCACTGCATGCTATCCTAATCTTAACTTCATAGTAGAACACGAGGAAAACCACCATGCCATCACATCACATTCCAAGATGTTTCTCTGCTGAGAACGATTGATGACACAATCGAAAGATGAATACTTAGAAAGTCTGCATTGATAGGATAGGACAGGATATACACCTGAACAACTTCCTTCCCATCCAGTATGAAAACAACCTATTCAAAACATTGTTCAATACAGTACGGAATATATTCACTCTCATAGGACAATCGAAAGTCAAATAAAAACCCTGGGACCGGGCACTTCGGTCCAATCAGTCGACGGGTAAATCTAAAATTCAATTAAATAACCAATATGACCCGTTGCACAACAGGTCGGTGGCTCTCGTGGCCCAAGTGGTCTAGTGGATAACGCTTTGGCGTTTGAAACTTTGAGCAGTGGATTCGAGTCTCGGAGAGAACATCCCCACTCACTAGGAAATGCAGGTACATTCACTGACGAATCCCAAATAGGACGAAATGCGCGTTATCCTGGATTCCACTGCTAGTCACCATCCACAAATTAAATTCTAATTACATGCCCAGACATCGTCCAAGCACCTGCACAAGAAGCCGACATGTCAACCTAAGATCGAGCACTTTGGTCCAATCAATCGACGGGAAAACCTAAAATTCAATTTTAAAAAACCCTAAAGAATAGTTTACCTAAGAATCGATATCCCCCTCAGAGGTCACCCAGTAAGTATTCCAAACATATAGGAACCAGTAAAAATATCCAAACTGTTTCAAAGGAAGCCGTATATCTGTCAGTCTACTATTTAGGGGGGAGGCGATCTACAAGAGGTATTTCAACGAGGACAGACTCAATAAGGGTATTATAGCACAACTAATTTGGCTGCAAAACTCCTATCCTTTAACATAGCCAAGCTAGGGGGGAAGACAGGTTGCCAATGCTCCGCACTCTCAACTGCATACATCGATCTCGGTGTGATTGTGGAAACAAATAAATAAGTCTTATGAAGAGACGACTGTCTATTCACGTGATGGAAAATTCACCCGAATAGTTAGAAAAGCTGAAGTCAGAGTACGAATAAGGTCAATAACAAAGCATTTTATATACACTACACTACTCGGTCAAGTCATTCACTGCTGTCACCAGACAAACAAACGGAAGGAAGCTACTTTGCAAATCCAGTAGGCTTGGATGTAAGACCTCTTTACAGCCACAAATTGCAGGGAATTAAAGAAACAAAGCAAAACTTTGTACTCGAATGTATCAATAGTCAAATCTTGGTGCTACTAAGACATCTAGCTTGTGACACCTGAATTTAATATCCGAATATACGACAAACAGGTAGCCAGTTTAGAACTTTTATCGTCATTCACGATACAACACAATTGAAGGAGATGGTTACGGAAACTCTAAGAACAACAGTTTTACTCCCATGACTCTTGGGTAGAGACCCTCGACTTCCAACAACTTCTACACGACCTCAAACCCCAACTGACACAACTAGGTCTCGGTAGCCTCAGGAAACAAAACCAGTCCGCACACAATAGGTGTGGCTCATTCACACTGGACGAAAGTATCACCACAGAGAGTATCAACTGGAAAACAAACTTATCTAGCACTGAATGGTTTACACCATCATCGAAAGAGTATTCCACTAATGTCTGTCCAAGCAAGTTCGCTGACAACACCGTCAGCTAAGAATGATGAAACCAAAAACTCCCTCACAGTACACTATATATATTGTTCTTGTACACAATCATACACGAGATGTGCAGTCCTATAATAGTAATGTTATACGGCTAGCTAAGTCATGCAACACTGTGGTAACATATCCTCAAGTTATTCGCTTGACGAAAGATGAAGACCCCATCGGCTATGCATTTTATATGTGGTCAAAAGTAGAGGCATGAGACCACTAACTTACTGAGAAACAGTGAGTAGAATCACTTTCCCCCCCCCCATTCTTCCATTTACTACCACATATCGTTGTCAATGTTTTCAATTTTTGATACGTTCATATATATAGCATTGCCACTAATACTACTTTAGATATCACATGCTTCTGCGATTATTTTGTAACTTAATTAATATGCATCGTGAAGACAGAACATTAGGCGCAATATTGGATAACATCCCAAACTTTATCAGAAATAATGTGTGGAATACAGCCATTGCTACCATTGTTATTATTACTGACGGGCTATTTCACTCACTTGTCTGTCACCGGCAACGAGCTCTTCTTCACCAAACAGTGTGGCCAGTTTCACTCAGTTTACAGGGATAAACAGTTAAACACACAAAGAGCAATACTCTACAATGCAACAAACTGGCTTACCTGATCATGACCGTCAACATTAGCACGATCACCAACACTGCAATTAATTCCGACTTGTGAAGACTGATGGGATAAACCACAATACAAGATAATATCAGACCAGACATAATGAGTTAACTCGACCAACTCGCAAACTACAGCCTCATCAAATTCAAACGGGAAATTCCCGTGGAAGTTCCCATCATAATTATCCAACAACTCATCGAAAAAATTCCTATCCTCTTGAACTTCTTCCTCTCCAATATACGGTAAGTTAGCCAACTCTTTCTCATCTTCTACGGAGAAATTCTGTTGGACCGTAGACCACATTGAGAAGCTTGGCAATGCATCCACGTGGGGGATTACTGTCACAGGTACACTATGATTTTCATTGTTGATTCTAACACCAAAGAAAGTAGGCTTATCACACATAAGCGGAATTCGTATCGGTTCACATAATGAAACTGGATTGCCATCAGTACTATTATTATTATTATTGGCATGAAATGCTTTGTCCTCATCGTCATCACTAGCAACAGGAGCAGAGTGCGCAGGTAACAGTTTCAACAGCATCTTCCTATTGCTTGTTAAACATTCATCTACATATTTCCATTTGTCTACTAGATTACTGAGTCGTATATAGTTGTACACCTTTCTAATCACCTTATGCAGGCGGTGACGATGTTCATTCAAAATGCTGTTATATGACCTAATCGAATCCTTGCTGGTAATAGTTAAAGTTGTAGGAGGAGGAGGAGGAGGAGGCGGAGTAATAGTAGTCGCCGTAGTAGTTTGCCGTCGTTGTCTCAATTGACGAGAAGAATATATCTCACCAACTAAACTGAATCTTCTGCTTCCTCTTCCTCTTCCTCCACTTTTCCTAACAGCATTCTCAGTTTCCGAACGATACGATGATCGACGCATCATCTGTGGGAAACAATGAAAAAAGTTAACGAACCAACTTGTATAAGCAAACACTGAGTAACACAGCAGAAACAAGTGACCATGAAAATTCATAATCACACACACACACACACCACACAATGCAGGTCGTACAAAATACCTCTACAAAAAGCATATAAAACACTAGAAGGCTTCAAAACCTTCATTTCATAGTTTAAAACACGTAGTTCAATTGTTTTACAAACTGACATCTTACAACACACTTTCATTCATCCTTGAATACACAGTGTGTAGAAAATACACCATTGTCATACTCGGAATGCTAACCAGCCATACTCACAGGTCCAGAGGTTCAATTCCTCATCCACGAATTCCCAAAGACCTCACCTACTTCTTTACTACCCGGTAGGCAGTAAGCCTGGAAAAGCCAGCAACAAAGATTTGACCGTGATGCAAGCAATCCCACCAACACCATAGCGACCAAAACTTTCAAAACAGCAGCACTAAATGAAATCTAATTCGAATACGTTCGCTTCTGCCTGTGTGTCTGCACCGCGACTAGCACATATTTCCCGGACAAAAAGGAGAACACCTTGCTCGACCAATCTTTTCGTCAAACACTTCATAATCAGAGGATATATTTACGAGAAAGTAAGTAATGATATGCGCCCACATCGTCACAACGAGCACACAACCAGTCATCCTCAAGACGACAAAAAAAAACAGTAAAATCAAGCCAACACTCAAACCGGGAAAGAAGTAGTGTTTGTTTGGTGTGAACGAATGTTTTATTGATAACTTTTTACATGACTTTTCGTAGGATGTTATAATTAGAGCAGAAAAAGTTGCAATATAGTAATAACAACAATCAAGAAACGCTTTCATCTTGACGTGAATATGGAAACTGTGATGTTGTCAGTTGCCACTTCATAATCCCATTCCTTGTCTTCAGTTTCCACAGTGTCCTTTACTGGCTGCTTGCCTTTCACCTTAAACAACAAAAATAGATAATAGAAATCAATCATAAATAGCAGTACACAACAAAAATCATTAAAAAGTAATGTTATCCTACCTTCTCTATTCTTCTATCTAAATAAATGCATAGATACAAGTGGTATTCACAATCACACGCGACCATAAGTCGACTTCTACTTTCTACACCTCCATATACAACATCAATGTGCCTACACTGAGATAACTTCTCAACCTGGTATTTTATTTCACCATGACGCACTTGTCTCATTTCCCTACCGGAGGATTCATTCCTGTTGGCTAATAAAAGTATGCTGTGCGTCGGTGGCACAGTGGTTAGGACTCTCGCCGACCATGCACATGGTCCGGGGTTCGATCCCCTGCCGGCGCACACCCGATATCTATGGTCGGCCTGAATTTGGGCTACCGATATCCATGCTGAAAATTCCACACTTGTACTGAAAATACGGTGTGGAATCAAGCTGTAAATCAAAAAAAAATATTTTAACTTGATTTATTAAACGCTAAGTGTTGCATACTGCTGAAAATCAACCAAGAAATACAATCATCATTA